GATCTTGTTGAAATACAGGCTTGGAACCAAGTTTTTGTGCAACAGTAAAATCCCATTCACAATAGATTTGAAATGCATTATTGGAAATTTTACAGTTATTGATGTTATTTTAAAGTTAACAGCAACAGACAGAAGTAACAAATTAGACAATGGATCATCAATGTGCCAAGATGAAGACGATACTGATGAGCGCATCGCATCATTAGCTCATGATTTAGTCAAAGTTGATAACGCAATAGCAGAGGATGATGGGATTGCTGATGAGGATGACGAGGAACTCATTGCTGCATCTGTAAGTTTAAAATATGTTGGAGTAATATTTTCTGTGTATTGTAAAATTATAGTATGTGTTTTCTATCTAAATTTACTATCAACCAAGTTCAATTATTTTTTAGTTGAATTTTTATTTTAAAAAACATTAAAAATCAACCATATTTTTCTGGATTTAGTGGAAACTATTTATGGTTTAAGTTCACATAACTTAAAATGTAGCAAAACTCAGTCGACTAAACTGCTGCTAGCTAATGTGTGTACACTGAACTATGGAGATCATTTCAGGCTTTGGATCTTGGTTCAAATCCATTACTGCTCTGAAATGCTAGTATAATGTGAGACAATTAGCAATTGGTTCTGTGTGCATTATGGCCCATGTATACTCCCTGGAAAGGAACTGAAAGTTGTCTTATTTATTTTTTATTTTTTTAGAACCTGAATTTATATTTATATAGCGGCTATCACAATCCACAGATTATACAAGGCGCTGACATCATATTTCCCTGGTCACTGGATACTGAGTTGGTATACCTGCACATTGTGCAACTATCTCTGCTCCCTGGGGGGTTATCCCTGGTCATTGCTGCTTGTATGCACATGACCCATACATTCAATGCTATACCAGCCTACCAGTTACCCATTTATACTCCTGGATGGAGAGAGGCAGGCGTAAATAAAGTGATTTGCCCATAGACACAAGCAGTGCGATGAGCGTCGGTCTCGTAATCCCGATCTCACGATCAGAAGTCCAACACCTTACACACTGCGCACACACTCCTACAAGGTGTACTGCTCAAATTAACACCAGAAGGATCCAACTGGAAATCAGTTTGTTGATTTCTGTAGGCTGTCCTTTATAAAAAGAAAGATGAATACCCAATAAACTTAAGTTATGGTAAATATTTAAGATATATATGTTTGTCTTTATCGTAATTATTATATTGTTCTTCTGTTTTCTCAATTCAAATAACTTTTAGGGTCTTGATACAGAGGCTATAGAGAAGGCAAGAGAGGAGGAAAAGCAATTGAGCAATTTAAAGAAATTATTTGAGGGCTGTAAATTCTTCTTATCAAGAGAAGTACCAAGAGAATCTCTGTCATTTGTTATAAGGTTTGTGGTTGAGAATTAACTTTTTATCTTTCGTCTTTTCTTGTTGCACACAACCTCACTTTCTGAGGTTGTGTGCTTTGTTGGTAAATCATATCAACTAATCAATAAATTTCGTATTTTCTTTTATCTCTTCTAAATTGTTTTGTTTGATTTTTGTTTATTATTGCTTAGTCCATACATAAAATATGAAGCATATACTGTATAATGTATTTTAATGATTGCATTGCAGGAGTTTTGGTGGCAGAGTATCTTGGGATAAATGTCTGTTTCTAGGGGCAACATATGATGTTACTGATGAAAGTATAACACATCAATTAATTGACAGACCACAGTGCGATACACAGTATATATCAAGGCAAGTTGCTGTCAATCAATCAATCAATTAATTAGTCAATAAATATATCAATCAAGTAATTGACAAGCCACAGTGTAATACACAGTACATATTAATTTTTAATCAATCAGTCTATCAAATGGTGCAGTTACAGTGTGGTAGACAGGGTATTTAAGAAATTACAGTAGCAATGATATGAGACAAAGACCCACCCAAAAAATGTAAACTAATTATCTGTCACTTTAATTGCAATTTTGTAAACAAAATTGACATGTAACAAAATACATGTATATATGAAATATTACAAAAATCACAAGTACAATAAAATAGCAATATTCACAAGTACAATGTATAAATGTAAAACAGTACAAATATTTTACAAGGAACATTTTTGTATCAAATAAAATAAAAGGATATGTACAGGCCGAGAATTAACATAAAAGAAAATTTTAAAGATAGTTTGAAGATTAATTTTGAAATCATACGTTGAAGTTTATGATCTGAAGGCTGGTTGAAATATGTAATAAACCGTTAAAATCACAGAATAGACAAAATATAATTAAATGCAATGTCGTACACAATAATTTTCAAACCTAATGGTTTTTTTTTCGGGGACAGCAGGGGGATGAAAAGTTATAGAATTGATGTGAACAAACGTGAAACAATGCATTAGTTTGTTACAACTTGTATAATTTTACGATTATTTTGTTATGTTTCTAGATATTATATTCAACCTCAATGGGTCTACGATTGTGTAAATGCCAGGATGTTGTTACCTGCCGAGGATTACTTTATTGGTGTCAATCTTCCACCTCACTTGTCACCGTTTGTGGAGGAGCAAGAAGGGGATTATGTTCCCCCGGAGAAGCGGGTGTTGCTGGCTCGCCAGAAAGGTGTACTTCCTGGTACTGACCATTTAGAATTTTTTTCACACATTTAATTTTAATTAAATTTTTAATAGCTTTGGTTTACTCTTGGTTAGCATTGTCACACTTACTTTAAAAAATCGTTATAAATATAATCATTATTTTTAATATTTTTCAGATGAAGAACAAGAGGAGGAGGAGGAGGAGACAGATGAGGAGGAGGAGGATGAAGAAGAAATTATTGATGAAAGTGAGGGTGAAGAAAATGTTGAAGATGAAGGGAGCAGTGATGAGGAAGAAGAGGGTGAATCAGAAGAGGAAACAAAAGATGAGGAAGAAACATTACAAAAGAAAAGAAAAATGAAGGTTTGTTTCAAGTTAAAGTATGTACATTTAATAGAAATGAAATACTTATGCTGCGATTAGATCTTTTGAGACGAGTTTAAAAAGAATCACTAAAACCTTACATACACTATCAGGTTATCTGTCAGATTTAACAATGTTTGTCAGATGCCTTACCGCTCAGCCATTAAAGCTGACTCAAGACTGACAGACTAAAATCTAATAGAGTATGTCTGACTTTAACACTTGATGTACATCAATTTACAGCCAATTATGTGTTTTGACTGTCCAATAGTCGATTATTAGAAGCTGCATTGGACACTAATACATATGCCTTTTATACAAATTGCCATTTATTATTATTATTTCATTTTTGCTTGTTTTCTACTACTGTATATTTTCTACAGGATTTGAACACCAGTAACCTTTCTGTTGAAGCTGGCCAGGTTCATAAAGTTGACCCAAGCAAATTGGCAAAGAAACAAGAAATGGAAGAGAAGAGACTTAGAGAAATGATGCTCCCAAAGAAGAGAAAATGGCTGTATGATAGAATTGTACAAAAGAAAAAGGAGAAATCAAAACAAGCAAGAAAACTGACTGAAAGACGCGAGAAATATGAGGAGAAACAGAAAATCAAGAAGAGGAAATTAAAGAATGATACATGAACTATAACTTGTAATTATTTAATCCATCTGGAGCTCAACTCTTCAATTTTACTCAAGCAACGTACACAGAGTATATTATAATTCAGAATTCTGTATAAAACACTATATAGGCAAGCATTTGAGGCATGCCATCCCAAAATCAACTTACTGTCGCGAAATCTATTAACTGATTAATTAGCATAAGAGTGTGGCAGCATTGTATATTTTAGTACAGAGAGGCCGTAATGCTTTTACTCAGGTTTGGAAAAAGTCCAGTAAATTACCTACTATTTTAAAGTTTATGTGTGGAGTATGAATATATCAACAATTTAATTTTTTCGTTTTTTAAACTGATACTGGTTTGTGGCATGGCAAACTCAACTTTGTTTAACAAACAATATACTATATTTTATATAGTGTTTCATATACAACTACTAAAAGGTGCATTAACAACAAAAGTGTAGGAAATGCACTGTAAACCTGAGTCACTAGACTAGCGAAAATATTACAGTACTTCATTACACTTTATTTCAGCAAGTTGTGGGATACAGAGCATAATTACATAGGTTGTCTATTGATGGTAGCATCTGAGTTATGAATGAAAACAAGCTGAAGAAGATCAGTGAACAAATCCCAGCCAGAAACAATGATGTTGACAATGTTGTGGCTGGGCAAATAACATTACATAAAAGGCTTATACTGAATATCCTTGAATATAATAAGCACACTTCCTTAAACATGAAATTTGAGTTATTGGGGTGGTTTTGTACGTGGGGACCAAAGAATAAAGACCTGCATTCAGCCTGTTAGTTTGGTGTAGCCTAGCCCAGCAAACATTTTAGTGCTCAAATACAATAAATTTTATTTCTGCTTCCTTTTACTGTCTGATATGGAATCTAGGGCATTCAGAGTTTCAATTTCTCTACCAAATATCTGATATTGGGGTGGGGTGGTTGAATTGCAGTAATTGCCTGAAAATTACTCAAAAAAGGTTGGGAGGTGGTTTATACCAAATGATATATGGTATTTGTCAGATAAATCAATGTAATGATGAAGAGAAACTTTTAAATATTTTGAAATAAATAGTTTAAAATTCACATCCATTTTTTCAATAGTAATGTTTGTCTTCTGTTTGTTTAAACTGAGTAAAATTGAATTAAAATTATTACAAATGAGAACATCAAGGAAATTGGTTAAATACAACTTAGAGCAAGTCACAAAGGAAAATAATATCTCTGAAGGACTTAATTAGAGCCGAGCAAGGACAGACCAGGATGTAAGGAATCTGTAGCTTTGATGATATGCCTTTCCAATGTCAGGAATTGGATTTAAACAGAAAGTGCTGCAGTCACTAAAACTCATAATGAGACAATGGGTTTGAAGAGCATTGCCACACTGATATATTTTGTCAGTTTTAAAAGAAATGAAACAAAAATAATAAAAACATACACTGTAGGAAAACTGCCCTCAATATACAACAGAATTCTGTCAGTTGAAAAACAACACACTTCTCCAGGACCGACCCGAACAAATCACTTAGAGACAGTGTGAATACACTTATTAAAAAAGGTTTTTGTAATATAGAAAATATTACTTTTGAGATGTGGAGAGCACACCTACAAAAAAGCCTGCCTCCACTAGAAATCTGCCGAGCAAAGAATTACCCATCATCGCCCCAATGTCAAAGAGGCAGATAAAGTGTCTTGCCTAATGACATGAGCAATATGTCGCCAACATCGGACTCGCATCATTGGCTTGTAAGACTGAAGCACTGCGCCGTACCACATGCTTCCACACTAAATAATAAAGACAAGACTGATTAAAATTTAACATATGAAGACACTTTTATTCAATTTCAAGATAGTAGAAAGACAGTATAACTGTAAAAAAGAAACCGAATACATGTATTGGAATGTTGAAAATAAAATGTTACACTTATGGGTACCTATTCGACCAATAAACCCTTGTACCTAATGTTTTTGTAAATAACAAGCTCTGGAGGCTAAACTGCAAACATAAACCATGCAAATAAATAAAAAATACCACTACACACAATTATGCAAACTGCAAACTTATATAACAAATGTTTTGTGGAATGCATTTTGATAGGTTTTCAACTGAGTTGTGTCACTGCTGCTTCATTCATATGATGAACTTTATACCCCAAAAAGCAGCCCAAATCTATGTTCACACCAACACCAAGCGCGGATTCCATATTCCGGTACGGAATCCACGCTTGGTGTAAACATAGCTTTGTATAATAGTATACAGTATAATGTATATCTAGAGCTGACAGCCCTGTTAGTAAATGTGTGCACACATTTTTTTTTTTATAGCAATAGTGATGACTAATTTGGCACAGAAAATAGTGTCTTTGATTTTAAACATAATTTTACTCTAATAACCTGATCACCATGACTTATCACTGCAATCATGTGACTAAGCAGTGTGATCAGGTGATAACACAATTAGTTTTCATTTTATGTGCAGCACATTATATGAAAGTGAATAGAAAGACAGTATAAACTCCTCTCCCAATTTTACAGCTTATCTCCATAGTAATAATTTATAAGGAGTAATCATTTTATAAAGAGTAACTATGTTCTTATAAGGAGTAAACATCTCCTTATAAGGAGTAACTGTGTACTTATAATAAGTAATTATCTCCTTATCAGGAAAATTATACAGAATTAGATATCTAAGTATACTTTAAAAAGTTTAGACAAATGCTGATAATTAACTTGAATAAAAATATAGAATAATAGATTTGTAAAAAATACCTTCAAATTTGGAATCAAAAGAGTAATGTAACTATTTGTATTTATTTTCTATTATTTTAATCACTTGTTTATTATAGCTTTGGTGCAGTATATAACATTAAATCGCAAGTGATAAATAAAGACAATTTATTAAAGCTAAACAATAATGGTTCCATAAATGTGATGATATTAGAAATCATAATAATTGTGAAATACACACTAATAGTACAATACAATATATTTTTTTATTGGTTCAACATGTCTTACCATATATTCTTTTCAATTTAGTAAATTCTGACTATACAATATTTTTTTACAGGGTACTACAAGATCAGTGTGTCTAACTGCAGTCACACCCTTCCTATTGGCCAATGTATTGATACTGTTGCTATGTACCATTTTCTCAACCTTTTTTCCCCTAAACAACAGCCGGGCAGGCCGCGGCGGGCAGGCCCTTCATACAATATTGGGGAGTTTTTGATTTGTTCGATGAGAACGCTAGAACGGAATAACTCATGCGTGACCATCCTACTGGGCATCCTACGTTCTTTGCATACATACTGTAGATTTGGCTTTGAATTAGGCATCTAGTACTGAAAAATTGCCTTTTAATTGAAAATGCGATTATCCAGGTATAGGCCCCCCCCCCACAGAATTGACCTAATTTTGTGTTCATGGGAAATGGGAAGGGGGGGTCTTATAGCAGAGAAACTATGGTGTATTTATGATAATTATGAATATACTGTGTCGTCATTGTATTCCTAGTGACTGCCATTTGCTGTAGTGTCAGTGGTAGATTCGGACTGTGTTTGCCAGCGTGGCATGAGTTGAAATTAAAGACAATGTCCAAAGGTGGTGGATCGTATGTTATTGTGGGGGATCCTGGATCCACCGCTGGGTCTTAAACACTCGAATATGGTGTTGATATCCCAAGAATCTTGACAAAATTTATACATCAAATTTTATGACTGTCAGAGAATCAAATTGTTGACTTTAAAAAAATAATTTGATGACATGCTTTAAGTAGGCAAATTTATTTAATTATATTTAAAACATTTTGGCACACTGTCTAAAATTATGTTGTTTTTTTTAAAGATTTTATTAATTTTATTTAAATAATCTCAACATTTTTTGGTTATATTTAATTCCTTTTCTGAACAAATCATAAACTCCACTAACCCCTTTAACCCAACAACTTAAGTATAATAGTTAGTAATCTCCAAAAACTATAATACATTGTAAATTATAATCAGGTTTATAAACAATAATAATTAATATCAAACTATTCAAAGTAAAATAAGTTGGAACTAAGAAATGATTGAAAGCATGATGGCATCTTGCTTAAGTTTTCAGCTTCATTTTGTGAAAGATATTTGGCATAATCTGGAGGCACGTCTTGCAAAAGTCAGTCACAATAACAACTTGAGTTCAATAAAACTGGCTAATTTTACAATTTTAGATCATTTTGACAAAAAGTATTTAAAGTAGAACTTGCGACAATAATATCTAGTATTACTAATACATCATTCAAAAAATATATATCAGGATTGATGGTATTTAAAATTTTTTTTTAATCAAATCTTTGTTTTCTTTATACAGTATTCTGATAAGGAATAAACTAAAAGTACATAAAAAGTGACAAACTTGAAAAAAATAAGTAGGTAAATATGGCATACAAAACTAGAATGTATTCTTAAAAGGTAGCGCTAGAGGGAGTACTTTTACATGGGTGTAGGCTGGTGGTGCAGGGAATGCACCCCTCCACCCCATGGCAGCAAAATTAGTTACAATGAGTTCAAATATTCATTGGAATAGGGATTTAATCCCTAATTTTTTGGCATCCCTTCCCAGTTCTGCATTTTCAATTTTCGTGCCCCCAGGATAAAACCAGTCTATGCCCCAGGCTTTATTGTAGTAACGTAGCACAACTGTACGCATTGTATAGCGTAGCAGCCGTTTACAGGGGAGTAGCAATAGTGAAGGCAATCGTAAAGTTCAGCTTTGTTTATATAGAAAATAAAAACAAATAAGAGAGGCTTTTACACTAGGACGATTCGATAACGATTAATCATGTATATGATAACAAAATATTTTGACAAATCAATTCAAATGACGTCATAATCATTGAAAAATGATAAAATCGTTTTCCCATGATTATGACGTCATTTGAATTGATTTATAAAAACATTTTTTTATTATATAGACGATAAATCGTTATCGAATCGTGCTAGTGTGAAAATTCTCATATTTCTTTATTTTCTATATAAAGATTGCTTGCCTTTACCAAAATAATATGTTGTATTTGTTTTACTATATCTCATAAATACAGCAAAAATTGTTCGTCTAAATTAGCCATTTGGATCTGTGAGGGTAAAATTTAACAGTTTGCATATGATTCACATACTACTTCCCTGCGTCTGCGTGAAATATGCACACATATAAAATTAGTTGGAATTACCACACCAGGTACTGAGTGGAATTCACCAATGAAATGTTATTACCTAATTAATATTTATCAGGTATAGTAATTCTCTATATAACACTTGTTCGAAAAGTAATAATTTGCAGTAGCGTTGTCTATTGTAAGTAGATTACATTTTTTGAGCAAAAAATGTGACAATTGAATTAAAAATAAAAACAGCAATTCTATGATTAAAAAAATAATTTAGAATGTTCTAAAAATGAATATAAAAACAGAAATTATACCAAAAATAATTCATTTGCAATGGGATCAAATATACGCCTAATTATGTTGTTTCAATATTTACATCTATCAAAAGTATTCTCACACTTTTTCTTTATCTACATATGATGAACTTTATAAATGTGTCATTAATTTAATTATTACCACCAAAAAACAAAATAATGATAAACATAGTATTCCGCACATTACCGTATATAAACATTAATTTTGGTAATTCTTTGTCACGAAATGGAACATAAAACAAGGTGACGACCATCATGATTATCACCGTAACTATAGCAATGATGATTATGATGATAAAAATTGTGACGATAATGGTGGTGGTGCTGGTGTTATGATGATGATGATGAAATTAATGAGGTTTCTAACAATTATTCCACAGAGATAGTGACTACAATAATTACCCATCTTCTTGCTTCATATTGTCCACATGTACCTCATATTTATACAATTAATCATTACCATTATATAAACATTTGTATAATTGAGAATCAAATCATATGAAGGTTGCCATCCCTAAACCAGTATCAGTGGCTAAAAAATGAAAACAAAACCCCCTTTTTTAATATCTTCATATTCTCTACATAAGCTTTAAAATGATAAGTTATTTACTGGAATCAACTTAATAATAATAATAATAATATTGTCAAAGTTATGAGTAAAAGTATTATGGCTTCTCTGATGCTAATTACTCAATTCGACAATTAGTGACAGTAAGCTGGTTTTGGAATGGCAAGTTTCGTATCTATTCTGGAATCTCTTATTACAAAACACTCATATTGTCATTCTTCCGTAAAAATAAAAGAAAAAATAAAAGGAAAAACACAAGTGAATCAGCAAAAAACATTCAATTTATAAATCACCAACAGTATTGGAAAAAATATTATAGATTAATTTTCATGACTTAGAATGGTATTTTTTTTTTTACAATCATAATCTTTGATATAACATACAGATATACAGTACATTAACACACTTTCATATAAATGGAAATGTTATCTTTTATCCTCAAACTTTTAACTATACATTTTTTATTCTGTTTCAACAACAAAATTATTATATTATAAAGTTTGAAATTTCAAAAAAAAATTGAAGCTGCATAAAAAAAATTATGGATTGCAGTGGATTAAGATAAACTATATACATCCAATTCTTCACAAAAAATATTAGAATAAAATATATGTTGTTAAAGCAGCTCTTTTATAATGTTGTAGCTCTCTCTTAATGGGACTGATGTTTATAATTTTTAGGTATAATTTTTATGTAAAAACTGAACAATATCTCTGTTCAAGATATTTTCCCATTCAATATTACATGAAAACGTGAGCCCTGTGATACATTATTGCAAATCAAATATGGAAAACTCTGCATGATTCTATTATCAGCATGCAGAAATGCGGGCTCAACATTAATTATGATGGCACAGCTTGATACAGCCCACTTTATGAGATAAACATATTGATTAAGTGATTATGAAATCTGAATAGTGTGCGATTTCTGCAGGTACAACGCCAAGATACACTCTTGTTAAGCTCAACTCCTTCAACCAGCAGATTGTTAGAAGTCTGTCTCAGCATGGATTTTAGGCTGATCTAAAATGTCTCCTCGACGTGTTCCACTGACTTGTACGTTTTTTGTAGCCTGGCTTGTTTACGCCTCTCCAGTTCGGCTTTCCACGATGGTACTGAAGGTGAACTATCTTTTGGAATGATTTCTAAAAAAAAAAAAAACCAGAAACAACATTTATCAAAATATAAAGAGTGTAAATTTGATATTGTTCAATTTGTACATAAAAATGACAATACAGGAATCTATACTGTACATTTTACAAAAAAAAAAAAAAAAAAAAATTCTTTCAATCCAATAAGTATGCATATTAAATGATAAAATGGGATAAAATGGTAAGGACAGATCCAATGGGGGGAAGGGAGGGGGCAACAACAGGGCACACCTGATTCATCATGAAAATGATATATGTGACGCACACCATACATTCCCAGATAAATTTGATAAATGTGGAGACTTCTTCCCAATGCTACAGGAAGCTTGGCACTGAAAAGGGTTGTTTGGTTTAGGATTTCTAGTCTGAATCAAACGAATCATAAAAACGTAGCTTGCTAAAGCAAAGCTTTATAAAAAAGCATAAATAAATTGTTACTGCCTGTGTAATCTTTTATAAGTTCTATTATTAGTTCAGTGGTATAATTTATTCATGTTTTTAATTTTCTTTTTATTAGCTTTTTAATAGTGGAAGTTGTTACATCTTCAATATAAATAAGTAGTTTGGTATTTCTAGTCTTAATCAATTATAATTACGTAGCTTGTTAAAGCAAAGCTGTATAGAAAAACAAGATTATAGTGCCATATTTCAAAGAAAAAATCAATATTAGCAAGCATCCAGTGTAATCTTTTGTTCTATATTTTTCATGTTTTCTTTAATTTTAAAAATTAAATCAACACAAATATTCACATTTTAAAATAAAAATTGTGATTGTAATAAAGTTACTTATGTAATCAAGTAATCAAGTGCTTACAAGAGGTAGTAAAAGCAAACAGTGGAAACCAAATAAACAAAAATTCTATATAAAAGTGTTTATAATGTATTATGAGTAATTTGTGATAAACAACATGGTAAGTCATACACACTTTCTGAAAAAGTTAAATGACAATGTGTTTCTATTTAATAATCAATAAATACATATTTTAATTAAATAAAATAGCAACTTTAAATATACAATATAAAAATATATATAAAAAATTACAATATAAATTGTTGACAACACTAATACATGATACAGATATTATATATTTAAATAAATTTAAAAATCTACAATGATTATTACCTTGCTACGTACTACAATGATCTAGGAAAGAAATTTAACATTCGGTCAACCTTATATCAAGCAATACTATTCATATTATTTCCTTTCTTGTTAATAATTGTTATTCTTTACACATTATTATTACTATTATTATTATTATTATTATTATTATTATTATTATTATTATTATCATTATTATTATTATTATTATTATTATTATTATTATTTATATCACTTATATAGTAGCTTTTGTTTTGTTTTCCCTGGTCATTGGGCCCACATGCTTTGAGTGTTGCTGCTGGTAAACAGCGCGGGAGCAGGCAACCCCACCCGGTACCCATTTATACTCCTGGTGGAGAGAAGCAATGCAGATAAAGTGCCTTGCTCAAGGACACAAGCAAAATGTACTGCGATGGATTGAAATTATAATAGTAATAATTACTAACAATGATAATAAACCTAGAACAAATTATGCAAATAGATTACTTTATACAGTACAAGCTTTTTTTGTTAGCTTCTCAGAGCAATATATTCTTGTCAAGATTTTTAAACAGAAACTACCGCATATATTCGCGAGCAAGACAAGTATTAAAATAGCAAATTAAGATTTTAAAAAAAACAGGGGGCCATTCTATTTTTAAAATCATGTTTTGTCTTATGCGCTGATTGTCCATCACATGCGAATTTACTACTGCAATGAAGCGACTAAATGTCAGTATGAATGAACGCTACTTCAAATACGGGAAAATATACGATGTTGATGAACATAAAAAATTGTATTATTTGGAAGATTAGCTGTGCATTTGGCAACATATTATGGAATAAACACAAGTAATGTACTGTATTAATTAATATGGTGGACAGTAACACGTAGCAACTCTTGCAATGTGTGTGTATAGGCTTAGCATAAATATTATTAGTAGCGTTGTCATAACAAGGACAGACGATGGCATTACTTCATTCTCACCTGATGATATATGTTTTGCTTTCTTATTGGGCTCTTCACCTACACTACGAGTCCTCTGTTTACGTTCCATTAATTCTCTCTTCCATTGTGGAATATTACCCGACTGCTCTTTGTTATTCTACAGATAAAATCAAATCAATTGAATAAAGGAAAAAGCCAATCAATAAGTAAAAAGGATGATAACCTGGTAGTATCAAGTACACTACTATTCAACTATTTGTAGATATTAGAAATATATATAAATTCAGTTTACAGAAATATGAAACTTATATATATACAGTAGGATATTAGACAGAAGATTGAAAATAACATTAGAAATTATGGACACACAGAAACACATGTGCCAGTACGTCTAACTACATACAATACTCCCAAACACACATCACCTACATAAACTAGATACACATGGACACACACACACACACATGCCAGTATGTCTAACTACATACAATACTCCCAAACACACATCACCTACATAAACTAGATACACATGGACACATAGAAACACATGTGCCAGTATGTCTAACTACATACAGTACTCCCAAACACACATCACCTACATAACCTAGATACACATGGACACATAGAAACACATGTGCCAGTATGTCTAACTACATACAATACTCCCAAACACACATCACCTACATAACCTAGATACACATGGACACACAGAAACACATGTGCCAGTATTTCTAACTACATACAATACTCCCAAACACACATCACCTACTTAACCTAGATACACATGGACACACAGAAACACATGTGCCAGTATGTCTAACTACATACAATACTCCCAAACACACATCACCTACTTAACCTAGATACACATGGACACACAGAAACACATGTGCCAGTATGTCTAACTACATAAAATACTCCCAAACACACATCACCTACTTAACCTAGATACACATGGACACACAGAAACACATGTGCCAGTATGTCTAACTACATACAATACTCCCAAACACACATCACCTACTTAACCTAGATACACATGGACACACAGAAACACATGTGCCAGTATGTCTAACTACATACAATACTCCCAAACACACATCACCTACTTAACCTAGATACACATGGACACACACACACGTGCCAGTATGTCTAACTACATACAGTACTCTCAAACACACATCACCTACATAACCTAGATACACACTGATACACAGAAACACATTTGCCTGTACATCTACCCACATACTCCCTAACTCCTTAAACACACATGGAAACACACATCAACCACTTAACCTAGACACAATGGACATGTGTCAGTACAGCTATTTACATACTCCCTAAACACACATGAAAACACACATTATCTACATAACCGAAACACATGTGTCAGTACATCCATCTACACATGGATACATAAGGTTACACTTACAAATAGTCATATGCACATCTAGACACTCTACTCCCAAAGACACATATTCTGAAATGTTTGATTTTACCTATACATTTCAAGTTGAATTTTCAGTGAATGTGTTAGATATTAGAGAAAGCAAATGTACAACAAATCAACATGCATGTCATAATAACATTAAAAGATCAATTGTTAAAATCTAAAACTAAAAGCAAATATGGTAGTATATAATGCTACAAAAATGATTAGAGCAATACAAAATAATCAAAGCAACGCTGTGAAAAATACAGACAACTCATGCAAAGTTACATAATTTCATGCAATGAAACAAAAGAGCTAAAATAAAAATAAAATATATAATATATCACTATAATAGTTATTAGTAAAAAAAAAATACTAAAAATTATGAAAATATTAATAGTTTTATCTCCGTTGATGACAAACAAAACAATTAGGAAAGCTGTTACATGATAATGACTGCTTGATACCATGATTTGAATATTCTCATGGCAATGACATTTGACCTCTCATTTAGTATATTGTTATTCTTTAAAAAAGAATATCATTTTATTTTTATATTTTAAGCGTATGGTTTAGATAATGTTGATGTCTAGTGAATTAGGATTAATTGCTGAATCTAATTAAATTAAGTTAGTTAAGTCAATCAAATTCTATTATGACTGAATTTAATTTGGAATAAAGCTATACTGGATACTGAAGCTTTCCAGGATCAAGAATATAAATATATTACTTAACATTTGTTGCTATTTAGTTACACCTAATCTTGAAGCAGGTAGCATTTCCATCCAAAGCAGAGTGTAATACTCAGGCAGAAATATTGGAAGCTATTCAGCAAAGATTTGTTTATATTACAGCATGTATATTATACTCAAGCATACATTAATACTCCCTCGCTTGACCAAGGCGCAAGAATATTTAGACATTTTGTTTTTATTAAAGTGTGGTAGTATTTACCATGGCCTTTTTTATAGTTTCTCTGTTCGATCAAATCCAGGCATCGTCATTAGAAGATGTCTTCTCTTTTTCATATCATATTGCCTTCTCAAGATTTAATGTCTCAAATAGTGGTTTCAATGTCATGTTTCCATTAGGACTTAATTCAATCTCTTTTTTTTTTTTTTTGTTGAAAATTCTACTGATATTTATTTTGATTAGATGTAAAACAACAAAACCACATGGCTCAGGAAACTTGTTCCTTCCTACCGCGATTCGTTACTAATGACAGTTGCTATCAACAATATTAGCAAATGTCTAGTGCATAATGAATGAATAATGTTGAATCTTGATATGTAATTAATGAATAAATGTCAACTAATAATGTTGCAATGAAATTGAGTGAAATTACATGCAGTTGAGTAGCTATATATTTCTAATACAAGTGTGGTATACAAAGGCAAGATTTGGAGAGATTCTCATAATATTTTGGCTACTGATGATGTGATACAATATTTCTCAGCATGGATGTGCATAGAAATTAATAATAATAATAATAATAATAATAATAATAATAATAATAATAATAATAATAATATATATCATACTTAATAATTATAATAACTGTAGTAATTTGAATAATATGATAGTATTGTTAGCCAAACAAGTAGTAGTTTATGTTGTCTACATTTCTCTCATATCCTTTTAATATCTATTTGTTTAAAGTTCCTATTACTATAAATTGTTTTTATATGTTTTATCTTTTTCATTTTTAGATGTTTTAATGTGTCCCTGTCTTTTTGTCTGTTTATCTCCACATTACTCCTTTGTTCGTTGCTTTTTATTGTTTGTGAGACGTTATATAGATATTTTATTATGTACTCTTAATGTTAAATTTCAATTTATATTTTACTTCAAATTGCAATAAAAGTTTTATCATGTTCGTATTGGTATTCGTAAACTGACTTCCAAAATAGCCTTTAGCATTGTTTGGGATGATTGTCAATAAAAAAAAAATACATTAATTTTACATTTTACCGCTTTAAATTCTAACTATTTTAACAATAATAATAATAATAATAATAATAATAATAATAATAATAATATGTTATATGTTATGATAATGATATCTACATAATGTTAATACTGTAAAAATCAATATTTTTTAATGTAATGATTGGATTAATACAGTAGTATGTATATGTATAACATTAGAAATAGGAGTGTTTTTTGTAATCTTTGAAAAGGTTTTCAAATAATTATTCTTGTGGATTCAATTTTGATTGTAATGCTAACCGTTTATGAGTAAAAAAAAAAATCCAGATTAACAAAAATATGTCACTCTTCATATTTCATATCTGTTTGAGAACACCCCTAAACGATAATAGAACATCCAGGACACATAATCGAATGTGCCCTTCATTTCCCCCATTTTTATGTTCAGTTTTATTATTCTTTAGGGGTGTTTTCCAACAAATTGAGAAAGAGCATTATGTTGGTGTATCTACATGTAGGTAAAGTATTCCAAAAATAGACACTAAAATAAGCTGACATTAATGGTATGACCAATGTAGTACAAAACAAACATAAAAAAAAGGTGATTCTACGGATATAATGTGACAATGTTGTTTCAGAACTCATAAGCGACTACCTCTACATTTTCGGTGACTGAATGTATTGCGTCTACAATCTTAATATCTATATTTTCCTTTTCTATAGGAGAGTCAGTCTTTTTCTCCTGCGTTTGCTTTTTCCAATTGGGAATCTCATCCGGATAGGGATCATCCACATGCGAGGGTCTCTGGGAAAAGTGAAATGACACATTTGTTTTTTCTCAAAAGAAAGCAAATAAATTGCATACATGTTATTGATAAAATATGGTAGCCAAACATGAGGAAATTAAACAAGCATCACAGCATATTATTTAACATAAGATAATTGTATATTGCCTTTCATACATGCTGAATTGATTTCAAGCCAGATATGACTTAACAAAATAAAAGGAAAGTTAACATTTGAGACAAGCTGTCAAAAACAGAAAAAAAAATATATTCATGATAAAATAACAAATATAATGTAATATTTGAATGATATTTTTAAATTAACAACAATGATAAAGATTACGATAATGATGATGATCCTAACAAATAATTATGATGGTAATCATGAGGATGATGAGAATAAAAAAATGATATGATGATTTTGATGATTGTGATAATAATGACAATAACGATGATAGTGATGATGATGATGACGATGGCAATGATGGTGATAATGATGGGAAAGAGATTGTTGTCGTTGATGATGACCACCATAATGATCATGATCATGAAAATGATTATAATAAAAATATCAATAAGACAGATTCCCAATCAGAGTATTTATCTGTCAGTGGACATAAATATCAATAACGGATGGACACTACATCAAATACTGACAAGCCATTGCAGCAATCAAAGTCGAAAGCTTCTTAAATTCTCTTTCCAACTTTCAGTTAATATATCTTGGGGGGAAAAAAATCCTCTGCAGATAAGTAAAGGTAGGTTCATCTTAAATGGTACACTACTAAATTAAATGTTGTTTTAGCCACCTACAGCTGACTCTACAAGGTTCAGTTACAATTTCATGTCTGCCCTTAAGCAAGATACATCATTTATGATGTTTCATCCTCCACGGAGCACAGGTAGGTATCCGCTTAGAATACCAACGTGCTAATTACGAGATGAGCGCATTAAATTCTGTACGTATTTCAGCCAATGACAGAAATAATAATATTAATTATATAAAAGCATATGCTGGACTGTGTTTACATACAGGAATATTGTTACAATAAATGATTATATCAGAAATGAAGACTAATTAAAAGTTATTTAAATAATATAATAAAATAATAATAAAATAAATTAAATATAAATATATAAATAATTATTTATTAATAGTTGTGGAAAATAAAAGTATGCCTCTTGGCAGTTGAAATGAAAACTAATTAAAAATGATTTAAATAATTAAAATAAATTAAATATAAATATATAAATATTTATTTATTGATAGCTGTGGACAGATGAAAGTGTGCCTCTCGGCAGTTGATCGGACATAAAGTGACCCTTTGAAGAGAAGAGAGTTAAATGAGTTGGTCAAGGACTGTGAGCAACTTGGCCTAGTAAAGCTACAAGTCACAAGTTATTCCCTACCTACTTAAAAGTATGCCTCTTGGCAGTTGAAATGAAGACTAATTAAACATTATTTAAATAATTATAAGAAATTAAATATAAATATGTAAATAATTATTTATTGATAGCTGTGGACAGATGAAAGTCTGCCTCTCGGATACAAGTCACAGGTTATTCCCTACCTACCTTTAAATACCTTTAAACACCTTTAAACCCTTCAACACTAACAACTTTGATGTCATTCCTTATGATATTTAATCCAACACAGACACAAAAATCTTATATCATATTATAAACCACCAGGATGAAAAACAGTAACTTACATTGGACGGTGGGTTAGCATTTTCCAATTTTTTCCTTCTCTGAGCGCGCTCGGCAGCTTGTCGTTTCCACTCTGGTACCTTTTCTTTCCCATTCTTCTCTTCATCTCCTTTTTCCGATGTAGATTCAGAGTCATTTCTTTTCTTTTTATTCCTATCAGCCAGATCTTGTTTCCAATCTGGTAGTGTTGTGATGACTGGTGCGTTCGGGTTTGCTTTTCGTTGCGGTACAACTAACGGTTTCGTCTTTCCTGAAAATGTCATCATCATCATAAAAAAAAAAAATGGAATAAATGGTTTATAAACTTGAAGTTTTATGCTTTCATTTTTGTAATACACTGGAGGGTAAGGTGCGGTCCGTGGGCCACATCCGGCCCGACGGAATCTTGTTGCGGCCCGTGAAAATAAATTAACAACCTTTTGTGTATACGCCCCACCAACATTCTTTGGCTAAAAAAACACCCTATATTTTCAAAAAACACCCTATATTTTTTTGGCTTGACACATATCTATAAATAGTAATATTAAAACTGAATATAAAGCAGAATAAAAGAAGTCCATTAAGGTTTTTGGAAGCACACTGGAAACATCAATGTTTGGGTGTGGCCTTCAGTGCTTCCTCAAAAGTTCTCTTTGGTCTGCCAACAAATTTTTATGCCCACCACCCTTGATTTAATACCTTGTGCTTCGTCTTCCTTCTTCTTCATTATTAGAGCTTGCTTCCACTGTGGCTGTTCTGAAGCTGCTGGTTTATCAGGTTTCACTGGCCTCGCAGCAGGCTTAGGTTTATTTCTAAAAGAAAGAAATATTACAATTAGAGAGTTATTAAAGTGGCAATTTAATTTATTCATATAAGGATATTTTTTAATTCTAACTCTAGAAGGGCATTTGGTACTTCAATGAAATTCTGATGCTTTTTAGCTTTTATTTCTTTTTCATTGCAACATTAGAAAGTTTTGAGCATTTTATGTTGTTAATGTTTATTATATGTAATTACTGTTTATTTGAACTTGTGCTGTACACTGTGCTGTTAATTTTTTTTCATTGTTTAAGCAAAAGATAACTTGTTAAATAATTTCTAATCAACAACAATACTGTAATAATGTCCAACATTAATTAAGACAATGATAAACAAATAAAATAATAATAATAATATGATATTATATACTGTATCAATAATTTTACTTCTCAAAGAACAACTGAGGATATCTTAATCAAGGTGTTGATGTGTTAATTTAACAATATCGCTGCAAAAAACAAACAAACAAACAGTAATGTTACATCTTATTATAAATCAATAACAATAATAATAATAATAAGAACAATAATAACATTAACAATAGCAACAGCAGCAGCAACATCAAAAATAATAATAATAATAATAATAATAAAAATAATAATAATAATAGTGATAATAATAATAATAATAATAAAATAACAATGAAGATGCAGTTCACGTAATCTATAAAAGTACTGTACATAATTCATCATAAATCCAATATGATTTATAAATTTAATAAAAACAATTTCATGTAAATGATTCAAAGCATATAGTAGATTATGCTAATGAGATTGTTGTTATTAACACGATGCCTATGTAAATGCATGCCAGATGGTGTCAACGGCTTCAGCTTATTGATTACAGGAGTCTAAGCATTCTACAAGTTATATTTCCAGTCCCAACTGCCAAGGCAGAGGCCCATAATTAATTTTCTAACAATGAGCGGGTATGTTAACCACGTGCCTACATATTGTAGGGACTACCAGTTAAAAGATATACCGTCTGTAATAAAAAAAAACTGGGAAAAAATCCTCACAATTTTAATTGAAAAACTGAATAGCTCTTATTTTCCAATGACAGTGGCGGTGGCATCAGGGTGAGTGATAAAACTAGGGGAAGGCTGGGAAATATTGGGGACAGGAGGGTTTTGATAATGGCGTAACTGAGCTCCTCCGTTTTGTTCTAATGGGAAAAATATAATAGTAAATTAATGATGGAAATAAATGGCAAAGTAAGCTACTTCAATGAAAGGTTAACAATCAATTTATGATACAGTCATAGCCAACTATGGTCCCTAATTTTGCACTTAAAATTAAAGTGGATTTAATATTTCTATTCAGCACACCCACTCCCTGTTAAAAATCCCAGACATGCCACTGGCTAGGAGAGTGTTGGGACTTATTCATGCCAGTAAGAATTATGTTGCTATGAAATGAAGAGATACTGTATGTATAAGTCTATGTAATAGTTGGATCAAAATAACATTGAATCAAATCTTTATCTTTTTCAAAGTGGCCTCTATGGGTAGTAATAGCAGGTACCTTCTTCCCCCACCACCCACCTGGGCCGCTTTACACTGGAGTTACTCATCTAGAAGCAACTATCGGCACTGCATCAACAGAAGCATTAGAGAGAAGTAGGAAGTTAAAATGAACATTTGTTTACTATAAAGATTTACTAATAAGTAATTAAGATATTAAGGTTTCATACTATACATCAATTGCTATAGGGCATGCCATTAATTACAGTAGTAAAAAAGGAAGTTGATAACCCAATGTAATTAGCATTTGCAGAAAACAACTTAGTTCCTGTTAAGGAACAGAATATTAGAGTGAATGTTGCATTTTTACAAGTACGACATCGACAAGTCTGAAAACTCTGTTAGCGTTAGCTCAGCATCTAAATGATGGAATCAAATTAATCACCCCCTTTTAGTGTGGGACCCTTAGACAGAAAAACCTTGGTATTCCCAGGCCCCCTGATTAGGATTCCCTGTCAGCGGAAAATTTTCTGTAGCCACAACTGGGTGTTACCAAATTTATTCAATATAAAATTTACTTCCTGTAAAACCACTATTATCCCTTTCTGGTAGTCCTATAAATAGTATCCATCTTGTTACATCCAGGTACTTACTTTGGTATTGGTGGTAATTTTTTCTTTTGATCCAACCACTGAGGTGTTTTGGGAGCATCTTCTTTCTCCTTCTTGTCCTCCATTTTCTTCTGTGAATTGATAATGTCCGAATTTAGCTTTTTCTCTAGCACCGGCGAAGGACTTTGAGGTTTTTCTTCAACAGACGGAGTCTTTATTATGACACTGACTGGGGATTTGTTATTCTGTTCATTATTAACTATTTTTTTTTCTGTTTCAATTACTGGGTCAGTTTTCTTTTCCTCATCCTTGCGCTTTATTGATTGCTTATTAACCTTTTGGAGCAGTTCTTCGGAGATCAACATGGATTGGCCATGGATGTCAGACATAACAGCGATGGACTTCGGCCGAGGTTTAGGCCTAGGACGGACGGCTGGTTTTGGGCGTTTATCTGGGATTTCTTTGGCTGGTTTGGATTGTTTGAAGGCACTGCCCGAAGCCCAGGAAGGAGAAAGTCCTCCTACTTTATTAAACCCCCCATCGTTACTTGGAGACTTCAAAACGTTTTTGGCCCATGGCGGTGATTTAACTTCTGTGTTTTCATTCGATTTAGATGAGGCATTTCCAAATTCTCTGGCATGTCTAGCTGGAGCTTTTTTCTGTAAGAGACAAAAAAAAAAAAAAAAAAAAAAATTTTAAGGAAAAAAAAAAAAAAAAAAAAAAAAAAAAAATTATAAGGGAGGAAAGATTAATACAGTAAGCTAAGTTTATATACTTAGATACTGTACTGTCGTCATTTTTATCAAATGTCTTAAAAAAAAAAAAATAAATGTATATATATTGAAAAATGTAGGCTAGTATACAATTTTGGCCTTCGCAATTTTTAATTGTCTTTTTTATATACAATAAGTGAAATGAATTCTTGAATCACATAATAATGTATTTTATATATTTTTTATGTCATTTAACTTAATAAATAATAAAATTATTGTCTTGTAATTAAATATATATATATATTATATATATCAGGTCGAAATATTCATGTTTTAATAAAATAGTGTTCTAAAGTCTACTCCGTTTCCTGTTTTTCTTTCTTCTTTATTATCCATATGAACACACGTATTTTCTCTTTTCATTCATTTTATGTAGTTTTCTTGTATCTTCAAAATCAATTTGTATCTTAAAAATTAAAAAATCAATGTGATTGTGAGGTCAATTGGTTCAAGTGGGGATGTAGATAGAGGTATCTGACACTTGTTCATCCCCACTTTTTCGCGGATTTTCCTTTCTTATTGTGTTTGTCATTTATTTTTCTCATTGTGCAGTGATGAAGCGTAATAAATAAAAAAATAAAATATACACCCCTTTTCGCCTTCACCGAAGTGCGAGTAAGAATTATTTCAAAACTAACCCTAAATTTAACAGCATCCGCTAGTCCTGGCAGCATCATGGGACTAGCCACACCACCGATAGGAATCCTAGGTTTGGGAGGTGAGTGCACTTCCTCCTTTCTGTCTTCGGCCTCCTTCTCCTCTTCTTCGTCTGTTGAAAATTCTTGGTCCACAAGCTTTGGTTCTGTTAGTTAGAATATCATGTTTTTCTGATCATTAAACCGATTAAAATCATTTAACTATTTGAAAATATTAATATCTCATGTTCTTGCAAAATGTTAATAGTAATAAGAATAAGAATATATTATTCCCCAAGATGGTATGATTATTAATATTTGTTTATACCAACGGTTCACTTTTTAAGTATGATATATATAATTTCAAAAAATAAATAATTATTTATAAATACTTTATATTTAGTATGATTACCATTTTCACAAAAGTACCCAATACAGTTGCTATTAAGCTAAGACATACTACAGATACCAAGGTAATACAAAAATTTATTAATTTTGGTTTCACATTCATCCCTTTTGTGCCTGTCAAAATGCAACATCCTAGATACAGTGCGCTGTTATGCGTTTCCTACTCTGAATCCCCATTACTGACTGCCGAATGTTTTCAATTAAAAAAAGTTTTTATTCAGTTGTTCCTTGTATCGTAAATAATAGCAAAGAGTATAGGACTGCAAGAGGTCCGACTACCCTGCTTTTGTATGCATGCAATGCAACGTTAAAAAAAAACTGTCACGATACAGGGAGGGCGCATTATTAGAATTCAAATAGTTCGCTCAAAACTCATCTTTTAAGTACACGCCCCTTCGTGGCAATACTTTTTGAAATAGGATAACATTCCAATGAAACCAAATTTGTTCATCTTTTGCTTTTTCTTGTCAAAATAATTGGAGGGGGGGGGTGGAGGGGGGGGGGGGAGGGGAGAAAACCATTATTAATCTTGATTTGACCAATACATTAGTAAACATATTTACCAGCGGAATCAGCAAACATCCATGAAACAGGCCTCCCTTGGCCATCAGTCCACGATGCCCTCTTCGTCGGTGGGCGTCGACCGGCAGCACCGCCTATCCTCTTCCGTAACTTCACCCGCTCCATTAATACCTCAGATTGGAGTAATTGGACATCCTGCGCAAAAAAACATTTACTATTAAAATGACATTGAAATAATTAAATCAAGTAAAATAAAAGGTTAAGAAATTGTTTTATAAGATAATTATGAGCTTTGGTAAATCCAAAAACAGCAAAACTAAAATATTTTTTTTAAAATTTATTTTTCAGGTATAAAAACATTTACAAAAAATAGTCTATAGCACAAGGCTGCAACAAATTTACAATGAACAATAAACTAACACAACATTGACACAAATACAGTAAGTCTAGAGCATTTTCACTCAAAAAGAATGAAAATTCAAATATTATTTAATAAAATTACAACTACATATTCACAATTAAACAATTAATTTGAACGCAAGAGAATTGTATTATCAAATATTTACAAATATGAACAAAACTATAAAACTCAATACTTATATCATAATCTGCTTATCTCATTAAATTTGTAATAATAAAACCTGTAAGGGAAAACACAATCAACCAAAGAAATCTTCCAAAAGCACAATGCATATACAATACAATACAATATACAATACAATACAATATACAATACAATACAATATAAAATACAATACAATTTTAACTTTATGATTCTGTACTTTTAGTTTAAATTTTCAAAATTTAAGCCTATAGTTAAAACATTTTGATTTAAGCTAAATTGTATTATTTACATTCCTGGTTAATTTGTTGTCCTTTTATTTATATGATTTGTTTTTGTTTTAGGTTCTTTACTTTTGTATTTTAGTTGCTATTGTTGTCCGACGACTGCACCACATGAGTTGCGTGTGCCACCGTTCTAAAGGTAAAGTGTCAATAAAAAATAAATACATACATACCATACAATACAATGTATACAATACAGATTGATTTTACTGACCGAGCGCAATGCTCTTTACTAGGCTATATTCCATTTCCTTAAACATTTTTCTTTTCCTGGATTATTTTCAAATATTGTACATTCTTATATCACGTTCACATATTCTTTTACATTTGCTACAACCTCTTTAGTAATTCATAGCAGATCAAATTAATCTGTTTATTAATTCTGTCTTATTCATGGAAGATGTCTCGTATATTTTTCTTACACTATAACTACTTCAGTTAACTGTGATGTCAACGAAGTTGAAATTTTAACTTAAAGCCAGGCTCAGGAAAGGAAAAAATGTTGTTATGTTGTACAAAAATAGTAATTCTATACACTGAAATAATTGGGAATGGCAAATAAGATACAGATTTTTGTTGAATATTTAAAAACTATGGGAAAAAGTGCAATAAAGTGCTGCTATTAACAAGATATAACAAATGGCCATTTTAAGTAGAATAACCATGTTAACTTTGAATGAAGACTCTATCAAATCAATTCGATTTTCGTCAATTTACAGATTGTGACCTGTTACATGGTACGTAATAAAGAGTGGTGGAGGACCAGGAAATGTATCTGCTAAATAGTCTGAGGATATTTCTTTGTTATAATTACAAATTGAAAGCAAAGATATTTCTTAAAAATATTAATATATGTAACTGAAATATGGGTTTTATTAAATTTAAAGTATACACCTAAAATAATGATTAAGATAGCATATCTTCAAAGAATGTTAGCAGGTAATGGTTTTACTTTGTTTTGTATTTGTTTAAAGTGTTTTTTTTTGGTTTTGGAAGCATTTTGGGAATTTGAACATAGGATCCTAGCAGGCTTGGAAGGCAAACACTATTTCACTTTCATTAACAGTTTTATCCTATTATATTCAGTATAATTAATGTTTCAGTTTCCAGTAATTAATATTTGCATAAAATTTATATGAAAAATAGTTTTATGATGATTGGGTTTCAGGGCTAGAAAAGGGAAAGCATTGTGAAATAAGCATAAACTAACTGTACAGTATGCTGAAAAAATGATTTATTATCAATAGCACCTGGTTCTAATATCACATGGAGCTTTACAATGATAAACTTACTAAATTTATAAAGTTGTTTTGAGTAATTTATAATAAATAAAATGACATTCACTACGAACCCACTCCTTATTCATAAAGTCTGATTTATTTACGAATGTGATGACGTCAATGTTACAAGTCTTTCTAACTATGAAAATATATAAAAACCTTTAAAAAACCCTAAATATAAAATATTAATTCAGACAAGAGAGAAAATTTAAAAAAAAAATAAATCAAAATAATATTAGCTTTAAAGCAAGAAATATAAAATGTTTTAGCCGAGATATATTCCAAAATCCGCCCTATCACGCTGAAGCAGGTTTTTAAGCAGTATACAGTGTAGAGCCTTATCACTTATCATACAAACATTTGAACTCTCTTTAGGTGGTGGGATGCATTATTGGGAGGTGTTACTGAATGCACCGAAAACAAGATTAACAAAGTGTAATCAACTCACCCCTAAATTAGGCAGTGTAACTTCATCAGTTGGTGGCATTTCTTCCTTTACTTCTTCCTTTGCTTCTATTTCTTCTTTCTTTGCTTCTATTTCTTCTTTCTTTGCTTCTTTCTCTTCTTCCTTTGCTTCTTTCTCTTCTTCCTTTACTTCTTTTTCTTCTTCTTTTGTTTCAAGATTATCTTTGCTTTGGTCTTTATCTGTTTCTGTCTCTTCAATTTGCTTATCTTCATCCACTGCAGTCTGTCCGGTTTCTTCAGCCTTTTCAGCCTCTCCGGTTGAGTCTTGCTCTTTGACTGGCTGTGAAAACATAACGACAACAACATAAATAACTCATTTTAGCATCCTGTTTTCCCCACACCATCGCCTAACAGAATTTCTCTTATGGATTAAAGTAATTAAACCAATCATATCGAGCGTTATTTTCTTGACACAAATAATTCTTGTAGATTCATTGACAGAATGAGTAACTATGACCATGTAAGAAAATTTATACCTTCTTCATGAATCAAATGTTGCAAATAGGATGCTATGACTTATAGTTTTAATCATATAGAAACTCTGAATATTAACCTAAATCATGCCCAACTTCCTTTTTCCTATGTTTATCTCATCAACCATTTGTTTATATACTACGTCTATTTAGATTCCTGACATTTGATTGGTTGATTATAGGTCATATATGGAATTAAATTTCCGGCTCCATTCAGTTTTTAGAAGTTAGATTTTAGTTAAGGTCTAAAAAATTTGTATAGAGTGAGAGAGGTAGTGTAACAAAATGTAGATTGGCCGCACATGACCTTTGACATTTCTTACCCGCCGCAAATCACATAATCTGCAAATTGGTTAATAGGCCCATTTTTATTAATGTAATAAATCAACTTATAATGACTTAGTAAGACTACTATTTAGCATTACAATAGTTGTAAATATGCATTTGTGATAGAAGCATTCCACCTTTCACCTCATTAAAATAATCTATCCAATTAAACTTATAAACAGTAATTATATGTATAATTCATCTCTCATCAGCTTTAAATCAATGGTATTCATAGATGATAAAATACTCACAGATTATACTCACACATAAATGGAATGGAGATATAATTGTATGATTCTTTACATAATTTAATTGCTCAATACTAAAATTACCTAATAAGGAATATACTGTAGTTGATAGCTATCAATAGTAAACAAAAAGGCACCTGTACATACACTATGTGATACGATATTAAAGGTTAAATTTAAATATCATATGGCATTTACCTATATGACAATAGACTTCAATGGTCGTTTCCAATTTTTGTTTTTTATAGTAAGCTACTTAATGAGGATAAAATTTAATTTTGACGATGCTCTATCAGTGGGGATCATTTGATTCCCTGATCCCTCCTTGTTGATCACTTAATGCATCATAGCTACTGTATACACAACAGAAGCTTGGTGAAGCTAGGCAGAAGTTGTAGCATGGTTGACAATTCCAGGGTCTGTGATTTAAATCATTTAAATTTTATTTGTATTGGACTTTTCTGCTCAATGTTCACTTGGTTATTAAACCTATACTCAGCACCATGGAGTGAGGACATACAAATGAAAGTTTGTGTTCCAATTAAAGATGACGCTGACGATGATGATGATGATAATGATCACAATTAATTAATAATTATATAGAATTATTATTAATGATGATGATAAGAATCAACCTTCCCTTCCCCTTTTTCCAAATCATGGATCTGTACCCTCCAAGGGCGAACTACCAATGTCGCACCAAGAAATCCAAAATTAATGTTATGCAAACGAATGATATTAAACCCAATAATCCACAGCATTTAATCACTATGTAATTAAATTAGCTCATCCAGTGGAAGATTCTTAATTGGCTTAGCATCTGCGATGATGAAGGGAGATGTGAATAATTCCATATTACTGTATCAAAATTAAAGAAAGTGGCTGTGCTGGGAGCAAACCACCGCCAACCAGATTGGTTTTCGCTTAGACGACAGAGTATCGGAACAATACCGCAAATGTCACTGGTTTGATTCCTATACTCTTCCCTTTGCTTTTAACTGCCTTATGAGCATCTGTGGTCATGATGGGGTGTTGATAATGAAGTGAATAATTATATCACTATATTTAAAGAAAGCACTGCACTGGGAACAACCATAGAACAATCAACACAAATGGCCTTTCACCTCAGCTGGCTGAGCACAGAAATCATATTCAGGTCACTGGTTTGATTCCTGCAGTGGTCATATTTTATTTTTCTAGCTCCACCTTATTTACTGTGCAATTTACTGAATGGTATGTTTTGGAATATAGTTATAATAAATAATAATAATAATAATAATAATAATAATAATAATAATAATAATAATAATAATAATAATAATAATACCGTAATAATAATAAAGGCTTTGTTTAAACACGGAAAAGCTTATATCCACCCAAAAGGTGTTCTTTTACAAGGCTGTGAATTTGAAGATTAATACAAGTAAAACTACACAATTTTTATACTAGTAAACAAATTCAAAAACTTACACCAATGTGTAATAACTGTTAAATGAATAAACATTTGTTGCATTTTGAACTGCACTTTTAAGAATATTCTATATTCTTATTACAATAACAATAACCTGTCAGTCTTATATTAAGTGTATCATGTATTTCCCTATAAATATTACCTCGTCATTGAATCACACTGCTATGGTCTATGGAGCACAAACAAATGTCATAATATTACACCTAACAATCAACACAATTGATTATGGAATATTTAATGTTGAATAAATTAGAGTATAATAGAACGACTTTAAGAAATCTAATCAATTGTTTACTTATACTTCTTATATAATAAAATTTTATTTTTATGGCCTATGGTAATTGGGTACTGTACTACCCTATAAGGGACAAGCATATGACAATGACTGCAGAAGAAATGTACTGATAACTAGTAAATTTGATGGTAATTTGATGTAAGATCCTGGCAACCTTCTCTCCATATTGGCTACATTGTGTCTTTCCAGCAAATAAAGCGCAGTTAATATTGTAATGAAGAGAAAATTAGCATCGTACTGGTTAGTCAATATCAATCCATAGCCTGGTGGCTTTATACAACATGCTGCAGACTGCCCATTAACTTTACATTGTGATTTGTAATTGATGATTTTAAGGCATTTACATATCATTTAATAGAAGTTAAAAGGTGTGATGGAAGAAGATGATAATGATGATGGCGAATCCATGAGTTTGAAAAAGGGCCCCCTTCCCTCACCCAGGGAGGAGCTTTCACAGATGGAGGGTCTATGGTTATGATACTTCTAGATAGTCGAAAATGGCACTTAGACTTAAAATTTTAATATAACTTTCTTTTTTTCTCTGTTTTATTTCATTTTGAAAAATTTTCCCTTCTTCAATCTGCCACTGATGATAATGATGATAATGATTAAGATGGCTTAATTTAGACAAAGATGTTGTGACCACAAAATAATGACAATGATTACAATACTGTTTAATTCAAGTTTCATTACTACGCTAATGAAATACATAATTAAGATTATGAATTGGTTGTTTAAAAGATAAAGTTGTTATTTAATTATAACAAATCATGTATTAGCAGAATTTCACATTATTTTAAATAAAAAACATGTTTTATATAATTTTCTAATAAACATCAAGTACAGTTGATAAACAACAGTGAAGAAAACTCCTACACATATTTGTGCTTCACAACTTAATCTTCTAAAGAGGATTAGCGAAGGAATACCCTAATCCTGACATTTGGGAGGATAAAAAACATGCAGCCTTGGGATTAGTCACCAAGTACAAAACACCTCAAAGGATCCCATTAAGGATTGGTATATTTTTTATTTACTGTCATAACCGTCATTTGTTGACAAGTGTGGTGCTTTTGTAGAAAAAAAAAATTGACTAAAGTAAATGTACTGTCTATTGTTTTTATTTAGTGATACATCAAGTTTTGAATAATTGTTTGTCTTAATAAATTTTCGAAAGAGGACAATATTGACTTGATTTGATAGTGTTCAGTAGTTTGGTGGTTAAAAAGCTTGCCCAGCGTACTGGGTTTATATTATATAGAGTGGAATTATGTAACATGGTGGTTAAGATGCTTGCCTTCCAATTCTGGAGTCGTGGGTTCAACTCCTGTCATGATGATGATAGGATTTTTTTCTCACGACCAAAAACAACTTTAGTCAACTCTCAAAGTCTCATATAATGAGACTTAGTTTGTCTTGTGAAGGGATTTGCACATACAAAATTGATTAAGCTTCCTGTATGCCGGCATACTTGGCCTTGGGGGCCCAAAAAAAATAATAAAATAAAAAGAAAATAATCACAAACAAGATAATCTGAGATTACAAACCCTCGCCCTGTCGCGCCATCTCTTTGTATAGTCGATGCAGACGATTCGCTGGTTGTTGTTGTATAATAGGGGTGTAATATTAACCATGAATAACTTAAAAAAAATAATAGGTTATAGCTAATGTAAAATGAAGAAAAATTTAAACGACAGAAAATTTCAAGGTTAGCAAACTGTGTACAGTAATTCTGGAGAAACCGCCCAGAAAACATGGGAATATGCATACATTTAGAACGGCACAGAAAAAAAAATTGGTATCTAATTTTTATAAAGGAACTGATAAGACATTAGTAATTAAAGTTAAAAAAACAAAAAAGCAGGTCAGATGGCTAATGCACATGTATCATTATATACATTAATCCTTCAACATCTCAAAAAAGAAGATGAATGGATGAGTCATCGCAATGCAGCAAGAATCATGAGCAATAGAATTACCTAAAATTAAAAAAAAAAAAAAAAAGACAATACTGAAGACATTGAAATAGAATCCGAATTATGCTGATATTCTTTATACCATATTTAATTGACTAAGCACCCTGGAGTGTTATTGTTGAGAAGGGATTTTGAGGGGGAGATTATTTGAGGAAGGAGTTTATTCAAGGGAGACGTATATTTTTTTTTTTTTTTTTTTTTTGGTTATGATGAATACGTATATATACTCAAACGCCCATTAATTTAAATGTGGAACTACAAAACATAATTACCTTCAAAATTTCTTATTGCATGTCATTAACACTTACCGTATATACGCGAGCATTAGACGAGGCTTATAATAGCAAATTACGAAAAACAAGGGTTTGTCTTATACGCACAACATAGAAATTTTAATTTTTTAAATCATGTTCGTATTATGTGCGGATCGTCCGTAACATGCAAATTTATACTACTGCAATGAAGCTCCTAAATGTTAATATGAATTAAC